CGCGGAGCCGGGGAGGCGGAGGGCGCGAGACGGGGATCGGTTGTCGTGTCTGCGATTAGTTCTGAGCGCCGTTCGATTTCCTACGGTAAAATTTCCGCGGGTCGTCACAGAAACGCCCCAGGAGCGGCGATCGATTCGAACGACTGTTGACATTCGGTCGTACGGTCGGGCGAGCAGTTCGGGAGCGTTCGCGGAGTTAAAACGATGGGTTTTCCGTTCCCAATCAGGCGGTAAGTTTCGCGGCGAGCGAGCAAAGTTCGCGCATTCGTTTAGGTTTTTCGGTTGACGGCCGCCGCGGAGTAATGGTAGGTCAGTTTAATTAAAAAGTTATGCCCAACCCACCCCCTTACTCACGCGCGCGCGCGCACACACACGCGTACATACATACACGCAAGCGCGGTTCTTAGCGGCGGCCAGCCGCGAAGCACAGAACTTCCTGGAGGAATATTAAAGTCGAGTAAAAAAGTAAGCTGGCGGAGCGCGCCGAATCTGCATACATGCAAATTATCATGCGGAAAATATGATTATGCTGAACGAGCGCGTCGCGTCGCGTCGGTATTTTTAATACCGATGAGTGTTCTATCGGCGTTAAACGCGATTTCGAATTAAGAGAGACAGGGTGATTAAAGGATAACGAAGTATCATCGAGCGGCGACGATCAACGGAATCTCGCGGAATTCTGATAATATAAGCGCGTTATGAAGCTCGCAACCCCGACGAGATTTGCGCGAAGGAGGGAGGGAAGGGGGATCGGGCGAGAGGAGGAGAGGTGATTTTATCTTATTTATTTGTACGTGCGGCGCGCACGATCGCACAGAGAAATCTGCACTCGGTGTGTGGATAACCATGATAATTAGACAATTCCGACTTCGTAACCGCGCTCGGACTCACGCGCCGATTGCATATGCATTGGCCGTGCATATTGCAAAAGCGCGATTGCTTAATTGGGTCACAAATTACAATCAGTATTTGTAATTGCCTTAATTAAGCACAATTTTCTAATCGATCGCGCCTGAAATTGCAAATTTCGACCGTAAATCGTTGCAGTAATTAAATCGCAAGCGTCACGGACGACGATGCGCACCTATGCAGTGGCATCCGGCTCGATCATATCGTGCGGGAATAAACGCTCCCGATGAAAACGACGTCTCGCTGCGCGCAAATACACGAAGAGCGAATTTTCCACGGCTGACGGAGTCGCGAGAGAACGGCAGCCGAGGGGGAGATGAAAGAGAGAACGAAAGAGACAAAGAGACAAACAGACAGACAGGCAGAGAGAAGGGAGGGAAGGCGGGGAAGGAGAGAGAAAGAGAGAAATGGAGAGAGCACGTTGAATAAGTCTTCCTCGCGTGAAACGCAAGTTTCGGCAGGCCGCCGTCCGACAACCCACACCACAATCCCTTGATTCTCCTCTCTTATGTGCACCACATGCCAACCGTAAATCAATTCTCGAAATTGTTTTCGCGCGCGCTCAGCCGCCCCCCTTCGCGCTTCCCTCGTCTCCGCTCGCTAAATTCGATTCGTCGGAGTGCACGTATCGACGAAAACTGCCGAGAGGACCGCGCGTAGACGGGTTCATAACGAACAACGAGCCCCGGCGAGTAAGCCCGGGCGGCGAAAATTTAGGAAAAGATCGTCTAATCGGAGTAATAGTCTGAATACGATTATTGCCAAATAACCAGTGAATCTACGCTTATTTGCGCGGTCGCGCACCTACAAAGCGAGAGAGCTGCGTTAAATGATAAGAGCTGTGGAAAATCTATAATACATTATATACTGTATCATTACCATATATAATAACTAATTTAGATACTATATGTAATAATGTGTAATAATTGCACACTGTAATTATATATATTACCATGCGTTGCACGCTTCAGTACACAAATACGAAAAACGACTATTTAATTTACTTTCCTTCTTTTAAGAAATAGTTATCTTTAACAAAAAATATTTTCTTGGTAAAATATTCTTAAAATATACTCGTTACAAATTTGAGAAAAGCTCATCATCATATACTCCACAAAAGAATTAATTTTCTGTACAAGAATATCACGAAACTTTATCAAAGAAAAAGTTGATCCGGCTCTGTATAATGAGCAACCGAATTTTTGTTTTAATTTAATATTCTTGATTTTGAAATGCTAGACTTATATTAGGGTTCAAAATGTTCCTTGAATAAGTTTGATGTTTATTATGAGAGCTTTTAATAACGAGCCTTTGATATTTTCTTGATAAAAGTCTTCAAATATGCTCATCACAAATTTGAGAAAAGCTTATTAGCGTGTACTCAAAAAAAAAGAAGAATTTATTTTCTTTACAAGAACATTATAGAACTTTATTTCAGAAGAAATTAATTTGACTCTGCACTGAGAAAAAATACCTGAAAATATATCAGTAAGATATAAAATTTATTTCGCAGAAATATACTTTACATCCCGCTAATAAATGTTCAAGTATTTTCTTCTTTCTAGCGTATGTAATAAGCAGAGCGAATGTTTATTCGCTTAATATTCTCGATTGAAATGCTGAAAATATACTCAGGGAAAAAACTTGAAAATTTATTAGTGAGATGTAAAGTTGATCCTTGTGAATGAAGTTTGAATAATATAAATCAAGGTAACCGTTGAAACAAGTATAACATTTACTCGAATACGGTATGTACTTTTCCGCCGATTTCACGTTTTGAACGCTCCGACCGCATTTATCATGAGCGAGCATTAATGGCGGCACTGTGATTTTTCGCAAAGGCCGAACATTAACGCATTAATATAACATGGCGCTGCGAGTACACGCAGCGATGTTAAAATGGATTTATCTGACCATTTCCTGTCGCAATTGGACGGTAAGTTGTAACAATACCGTCGGCCGCGGCGCTAAATTAATTCGTCGGCGGATCGACGGGACGCGCGCGCCCACGACCATTTTTGCTGTTTGCGAATTTTATCCGGACCGGCGAATAATTAATTTCCACCTTCGCTATGACTCGTGCGAGCATTACCCCCGGCTGTACAAGTAATACGTACGTGTTTAGCAAATGGCGCCCGACAAGTTCAGCGCGCCGCTAATACCTGGCCAGTTCCATTTAGTAATTGCTACCTAACGCGCTCGTCCAACTTATTACTGTCTAGCCGCTGTCTACACCGTGGCGTTCCGCTGCCGCAGCGGCCGACTGCATGTATATTCATCGAGTATTGATTGCGAGTGTATGGACTGGACAGTAATGGAAATTTCGCCGATTCGCGTTAAAGCGTCAGACGCGCCGTCAAAACACGCGAGCGGAAATAACGACAATTATATAGCCGAACAATATTAGCGTGATCGTTAATACGAAACGAATGCGATGCGAATAATCACAAAGGAGTCACCCATCGAGCTGCAGAATAGAAAAGTATCACTCTACTGCTGAGTAAAAGCGATTTTACTTACTTTTCTCAGTTTGCTCCCCGTCTTTCATAGTGACGGTCATCTTCAACGAGGAGAGTATCTTCTTGAGAGTAATCTCAAAATATACTCATCACAAATATCACTGAAGTAAATATCAGAGAAGCTCATTATAATGTGCTTAGAAAAAGAGAGAGAAGAGAAGGATTTATTCTCTCTACAAGAATATTATAAGACTTTATCGAGGAAAATGAGTCGATTCGACTCTATTTAACGAGTGAAGCGAATTTCATACTCTTCATTGGAATGCTAGACTTCCTAGGATTCAGAATGTATTTTGAATAAATTTGATACTTATAACGCGAACTTATGATAGATATATTAACTTATAAAATACTTAAAACAAATAACTTTTACTTGAATATATAGTAATATATACACTGAAAGAAATGTCTGATAAAACTAACCAGAATTCTATTTAAGTTTACCAAACGGTATGATGAATAATCGTGTAACAAGATATTTAGTCAATGATACCAAACTATTTGGTGAGCGCATTGTCTAAGTAGCATTACAGTAATGCTTAAATACGTTTACCAAACCGTCTGGTACAGCATACAATTCATTTGGTGAATGTTATGAATACAGTTGTGGAGTAGTATTAGACTTCTTACCTAACCTAAAATCTAACCGTATTATATATAATTTTCATAAACTTACTGTATATCTTCATATATTTACTTCTAAATTTGTCGATATTTTAAGAAATTTCATTCTTCCAAATATCTGACGGTTTCAGCGTCTACTCTTTTATAGCACCGACGTCTTTACAAATTAGTATAGATGAAAAAAGAAACGTCGCAGCGAGTAACAATTAACTGTCGCGTCAATAGTATCACACGTCTAAAGAGAATTACCAAACTGTCTAGATGTCTACAACTAAATGTCTCGGTATTGACTATCAGATGCGTCGAGGCATCAGAATATTGGATATGTGAACCAGATATCGCATATAAATTCACCATATTACTTTCATAAGACGAGTATAGTGTCATTCACCAAGCTATTTCTCTCAGTGTAGTTTTCTGTTGTCAGAGCATGTGAGGTAAAAATACCAATGCTCAGACACGTGCCTGGACATTCTTATTGTTTTGATTTTTAGACGACTTTTAAACTAGTTTTGACATTTAAACTTCAGCATATAAAAAATAAAAAATATATAAAATATATATTTAAAAAATTCATAAAATAAAAAAAAATATATATATATATTGAACATATACATATATATTCCATGTTAAAAATCCAAGTATTCGTATTTAAAGACCAAAACAATAAGGTATTCAGAACTATGTACATGTCGAGGAATTTGTCTTCTTAATGATTTTATCTTCACTCATTTCCATGCTTATGCTAAAATATGCTTTCGCGAATTTGTACGCTCAAAGTTCCCTGTAGAGATAATTAATCACTCTTTTCCAAATGATACCCCTTTCTCTCACGTCTTGACAAAATTCTCAATGCTTTCGAAGCTTGTAGAAAAATAAATTCATTAAATAAAAAAAGATATTTCATTGCCGATTTTCACTGCCAAGGTCCCGTAATTCTGCCTTCAGATACTGGAGCACGACCGGAAGCGGTCAGCAATACGTGACGGACGTTCCGCGGGACAATAAGGCGGCGATCATCAACAGCATCGCCTCGTCGTACGCGCTGCAGAGGCCGAGGTTCGCCGTGACCCCGGTGCCCCGTAACACAAAGGTCACCGACGGCAAAACGCGATACAGCGACGGGAAGTCCGACTGGCCGTATTACCAGACGTACAGGCAAACGGCGGAGGCGCAGAAGGCGCAAATTTTCGAGGACATCCAGAGGAAGATGGTCAACGCGTCGAGCGTGTCGAGTATGGCTTACCCGTTCATGAACACGACCAACATGGCGGATCAGCACCAACATCGACTCAGAATGAAACACCACGGGTTGGCGTCCAAGGGCAAAAGAGTTAGAACACGTGAGTACGAGAGAGTCCACGTGAGGACGAAAACTGCGCGTTCTCTTAAGAGTCATCTACAATGGGATTGGCAGTAAGCAGTGAGACATAAGCAGTAAACAACTTGACCCACCACAGTCGATTATTCTTGTAATAATCGACCGTAGTTGGTCAACTCGCTTACTGCTTACGTCTTACTGCCTGCTGCCAATCCCATTATAGATGGCTCTTTAATCATTTAATCTATTTAATCACTTAGTATCACTCAATCAATTTCCATTAGCTTTAATTTTTAATTTACACGCATAACGATCTTCTTGCCGTGATATTATTTGTAAAATAAATTTTATGAAACGATATCAAAGATATACTTTGTTTTCGTTATATATTGAATTAAATTCAATTGGGCGTTGTTTGCTCTTTTTTAGCGAACGTATCGCTTACAGCGCGTATTGCATGAACATTATTATACAATATCATAAATATCATCTCTCGCGATAGCGGATTTTTTAGTCGCAATATAGCGGGATGTAGAGAGGCGGACGTAATGTGGGCAGGAAGCGAGACACTATATCGCCGCGATACGATCAATAACCGCCACCCGATGGTTACCGTTAATCCGGCGAAGAATGATGACGAGCATAATTCAAAATGTTTTCGATCCTTCGCGTTTGCTATCTAGTCGGGCCTCTAATTAACTCTTTAAATGACATGGCGCCCGAAGGACCGAACAAACCCTTGCCGCAGTTTTTCATTGACTACAGCTAATGCGAAAGCGCTTTCAATAGCCATATTTCCCGCGTAAATGATCAAAGCGCGCTTCCACGTTTTCCTCTCTCTTTCTTTCTCTCTTCTCACTCCCTTCCTCTTTATCTCTCTCGCATCTCCCTTTCGTATTCGCGTTGTTCTCGACCCTACACTTTTCGTCTCGCATTTGCTCGCCGTTCCGGTTTCCGTGCAATGCGAACGCAACCCTTTCCTTAGCAACATATGAAACTCTCGCGTATGCTCAATGCGTAATAGTAATAGTAGTTATCGGGTTGCGAACGTGACGGTTGATCAATTATTTTCTTCGTTGTTGTGTGAGATAAACAAAACGTCAATCAAATACAAATGTATCACTTAAGAAAATATAATCTTATACTGAAAGAAAAAATAAATAATAATTTCAATAAAAAATTTTACTTGAAATGTGGAATCACAGGAAATAGCATCTTACAATTAAAGTTCTTCTTCTTGGTGTTAGAATATTCCCCTTTTATTTTTGGAAGAAATCTTTTGAAGAGCTGTATATATAAGAGGATTCCGTTAAGGATAACATTATATTTGTATGATTTTATAATGAATGATGATAAAAGTAAGAATAAAATAGCTTTCGTCCCATAACCTAATATTCATACTGTTATCGTAGATTTAAAAAAAGCAATCTACTTATCTTGGAATTTGTTCGCCTTCCCCACATGGATGGAGTCAATCTTGCTCAAAATTCAACGCGGAAACGTCGTTTGTTGCGGTTCCCCGGATTCCGACTGAATTAAATCTCACGGCGCAATTAAGTCTCGAATTAAATTCTTAAGCTCCGCGCGCGCTTCATGGGAAAAAGAGATAGAAAGAAAGAGAGAGAGAGAAAGAATCGTTAAAACAAGGCTTTAAAACTGAAGCCAAGAGACCTCCCCTATTTCCATCGCGGCCACCTATCCCGCAGATTACAGTCACATATCTACTCCGGGAATTCCCGTGCACGTAGCGAGATTAGACGTGGACCCGTGGAGAGTCCTTTCGAGCGGAATAATTGCATTCGTGATTCCAGGTGCACCCAGAGATTGCAAGGTCGGCGAATGGGGTCCGTGGAGCGCGTGCAGTCGCAGCTGCGGGGTAGGCGAGACCCAGAGGACGCGGAAGGTCACGATAAAGCCACGTCGAGGCGGCACACCTTGTCCGCCGCTGAAGGAGACCAAGTGGTGCGGCAGCGTCAACCCGTGCTCGGAGAGCAAACCGATCATAGACTACCATTGGTAGTCGTCGTCCGCGTCGGTCCCCTTCCACGAACACGTGTACCAAAGTAACCCGCTCGCGGACGAAAGGTCGAGCGGGCAGACGGTAATTTTCGGCGAGGGCGAGGCGAGCGAGGAGCGCGACCGCGACCGAGAGATACGCGCCGCGACGAGGGTGATTAACGGCGACAGGATGCGAAGGGACGCGACGGGATTCGATCGGTGAAGGAGGGTCCCGCTGCGCGACAAAACAACACGAATATCTATCGTATCGGGAGTCATGTCACGATGATCGAAGAACGTACTCGCACGGCAGACGTTTGTGCGCGAAGTCCGTTCCGAACGATCCGTGATTCGCGACAAAACTCGGCATCCTGTCCAATTTTGCGCGCCGAATTGTGAATGAAATGTAAAGCGTCGTTATAGATAGAAGAAGAGTCCCGCGTCACGTAATTGTATGCAGACGGATGATATTTGTATGCGACAGCGAGTGCGAACGAACGCGATTGTATAAATACTTCCCCCGTTAATTCCTTATTTTTAGATTCGTCTCTCTCTCTCTCTCTCTCTCTCTCTCTCTCTCTCTCTCTCTCTC